CTGAGGCATCAGACTCTGGCCTGCATTCTGTCTCTCTCAGACAGGCCACTAATCACAGCTCACGTGCTATTAGCCATAGGCTGCACACTGACAGCTGCAGTATGTCTTTGGATTGTACATTCCAGTCACTAAACCACAAAGGATGTTTTTTAAGGGGATCTCTGTCTTAAAGGATAACTGTACTTTTACAGGAAAGTCATTTAGCTCACCCTTTCACCCCTCCTGAACCGAACAACGTAAACAGCCACTCGGCTTCTTACTTACGTTTGCAGCAGTGTATCCTGCAGAATTGTTTACTGCTCCAGTGTAATATCCTCTTAGTCTCCATCCAAATGGTGTTTTATAGTCAAGGTCATCCCTATAATGAGGCAGCCTGAAGCAGTTGTCTCTGGCTGGCTAGCATCCCGCTGGGTAGGATGCCGGGCCAGAAAGGGTGCACACTTGCCACCGCCTCCCCTTCCATAATGTATGCAATCAACACCCCCTGTCACTCTGCCCCCCGGTTATGTGCACCGCCAGCACACACACACACCTCCCCCAACCTCAAGTGGTGAAAATTGTAGACACGCCGCTGTTTATAGTCTTATTGCTGAGAGCCCGCACAGCGCACCTGAGAGCCCGCACAGCCCACCACCTGAGAGCCCGCCCAATCCTACTGAGAGCCCACACGGCAGCAAAGCAGCAAAGTATGGATATTATATTCGAACACTGCTAAAAGCCTTACCTTCCTCAAAAGATTGGTACTGGCATATACACATACCTTTAATAATACAGCCATTGGAGGCCCCCTTTAAATATTGTTTATACATTTACCTATCTGATTGTGTTTTTTAGCAAATAATCAGTGCAACTGACCCGATATTTTTTTTCACAATTTCTCATGTATGATGATGTGACCCATTGTTGCATTTTAATGTTTTTAAGAAGGTGTTTTTTTTTTTGTCCCAAGCGATACAAAATATTTTGTCTAATAAAGTGCTTTGTATTTTTCTACAATTAACCCCTTAACTACCTGCTGTCCGGCCTTTTTGTAATACACATCACTTCTTCATTCACAGCCCGGAGGGAGATGAGCAATGAGCTGATCTCCTGTCCTCTTCCTCCTGATGCCCTCCGAGCCGGTCCCAGGCCGCAGATGGGGCAGCGGATCCCGGGATTGAAGGTGAGCACCTGTCACTACAAATTGGCTGTCACATAGGGAGCTTGCTTGCTCCCTATGTGATAGCAATAAAGTTCAGTGGGAAAAAAAAGGTAAAAAAATTAAAAATCACATATCAAAGCAATAAAAAAAAAATTAAGTCCCCCGACCCCACACGCACACGCAAACATGCGTCAAGCCCACCTACGTGCGAAAACGCTGATTACATCCATTGCGCCGCACATGTTACATATCGCCGCGAACGTCGGAATGAGAGCAATAAGTCTAGGGTCATCAATCACTGATAACACTAAACTGATGAGCGGTAAAAGCTTTTAAAGCGTCGGCTATGGTCAATTTTGGGTATGGTAGTTTTTTGCGATTTAACGGGGTACGCGCAATTTTAAAGCTTCACATGTTTGGTGTCTCTTTACCCGACGTGACCCCGTCTTTTATATTTTACCAAAAAATTGGGTAATAAGAAATGTTTTATAACATAACGTAGGGAGAACAGGCTTTTTTTCAAAATTTTCGGTACTTTTTTTTATTATACAGTAAAAAAAACAACCTGTAGTGGTGATTAAATACCACCAAAAGAAAGCACTATCTATCCCCAAAAAATGGTATAAAATTAATTTCAGTACAGCGTTGCATGACAGAATAAATGTCAGTCAAAGTACTGTAGCGCTGAATACTGAAAAATGGCCTGGTCAGGAAGGGGGTATAAACACCCCAGTCAGCAAGTGGTTAAATTAGTTAATAGCAGAAAAATACTCCTCAGGGTCACAGGAGGACATAAACTAGCGTCCTCCCGTGACCCAAAGCTCAGTATACCACGAGCTACAGCTCACGGTATACTGAGTCCGCCGCAGCCGGGACAGATCCCAACATTACTGTCGAGATCCACCCAGCTGCGTGAGTGACAGCTGGCTCTGCCTATCTAGAGGTAGATCCAGCTGTACCCACCCCCTCCCCTGTCCGTTCCTCCAGTCATCGGTGGGGACTGAATCCAAAAACAGCCAGAAAGTCAAAAAATGAAATGTAATGCTTTTGAAATAAGTGTAATTGACAGCTGGCTCTGCCTATCTAGAGACAGCTGTATGCTTATGTGGAATCAATATTTGGTGTATGTTAAAACATCATTAAGGATTTGTATTTCCTTTTGCGCTTATTGTCTCCTTTCTGTACTTTTCGTACGGCAATTATAACTATTTTTTTTTTTAAGTTTAAAAAAAAATTAAAGTCCCACAAAAAAACCCCACCCAAAAACGTTTTAAGTCCCCTGCCCCCACGTGCACACACTTCTAAACGTAAATACACGCCGGGTGCGCCTACGTGCAAAAACAACCATTGCACCACACATGTTACATATCGCTGTGAACGTCGGAGTGCGAGTAATAATTCTAGGGCCATCAATCACTGATAACACTAAATTGATGAGTGGTAAAAGCTTTTAAGGCGTCGCCAATGGACAACTTTAGGCATGGTAGTTTTTTGCGATTTCGTGGGCACACGCAATTTTAAAGCTTGACATGTTTGGTGTCTATTTACCTAACTTGACCCCGTATTATATATTTTACCAAAAATTTGGGTGCTGATAAATGTTTTACAACATAAAGTAAGGAAAAGTTTTTTTTTCAAAAGTTTTGGTTCCTTTCCCTTATATAGTAAAAAAATAAAAACCCCAGTGGTGATTAAATACCACCAAAAGAAAGTCCTTAAAAAATTTAAAAAAATTAATTTCAGTACAGGGTTGCATGACGGAAAAAATGTCAGTCAAATTACTGCAGGGCTGAATACTGAAAAATGGCCTTGCCAGGAAGAGGATTTAATACCCTGGTCAGCAAGTGGATAAATATATTTAAAAAATTCTACACATAATTGTAAAAGGCTATAAATATATTGCAATGCTGCTCATTAGCCTACAATATGTAGTCATCAAACCACCAGGCAGATATATCAAACAGGAAAAAATGCAAACCCATGCATGGTGTGCCGCACATGTGTATATATAATTAAATGTGCATATAAATTTAGAAATATGTATATATAAACGATTGTATGATACATCATCATAGATGATCATTTTTTTAAATATATATATATGAATTAATATCTTGACATTTATCTATGAAGTATGTGTATATTAATATCTAGTCAATATTAGACAAATTTGAGAAAGTGGGCCCATGATTCATATCTTAAGTGAATGCACAAACATGTACATATATGAATCTAAATGTAACTAAACATTTTCGATTACTTTAGTTTACTGTAATATTACTATCCGATTAGCATTAAACACTTTTACGCCTCTAGCTAATAATTTATTTAAATTCAAGAGAGAAAGAGAGACAGATGGATTTGGTTTCAAAAGAGGGATGGTCCCTCCAAATGAGGGACAGTTGGAAGGTATGCATGCTTGTGTAGTCTTTGCAAAGTGACTTTTCACATAATTCGCTAAGCTAAGGGAAACTTCCCTTGCAAAGTAAACAGCATATTTGCCTTTAGTAAATCAGCCCACTTATGTTTTGATCTACCTGGAATGAATTTAGCCCAATTAAAAAGCCCAACTGGATACTTGTGCTGCTGGACACTGAAATCCCTTCGTTAATGGCCACCCCAAGTGGCAGTGTCTGGACCTGCATAGCTATTAGCTTCTCAGAAAATTACTTTTGCATTCTAAGAAGGGTCACATATTTTCCCATACCCTGTTAAACATGGAGGCACAAAGGAGGGCAGTGTGCAGCAGTGCTGCTAATAAGATAAGCCAATAGGGAATGTTAGTTGTAAACAGCTTTTAATGTGTTTGCTTTGATTTTAATGCTCAGTATCCAGGCCACAAGCTACACCTACAACAAGCTGTGCCCATGGCCAGCATTTTTTACAAGAAAAACTGTCAAAAATACTTATTGTCATGTGGTAGGTTCCATAGAAAACTTCACTTTCAAACAACAGGAGTTATGAGACAAGAATTCCTCCTCCTGTCACATTACTTCCCTAGTACAACAATGCTATACTTCCTTCTTAGGAAAACACCTAATAAGGATCTATATGTGTGGGCTCACTAGACCCCAGCCAAAGGGGCGCGTGTGCTGGGTTTCCTGCTAAATTGACCTGCCTAATTGAATGCAGGAAAGCCAGACGGAGGGACATCCGTCCCAATGCCGTCTGTGCTAGACAGATGTTAGATAGAAAAGTCCCAGAAGCACAAATGAAGTGGAACATTATTAAACATTAAAGCTCCCACTGCCCATCAATGCATACAGTGACAATGGCCACTGACCACCAGTGACAGTGGGCAGCACTACACAATTATCTAGGGGGTCTTTGTTTTTAGATATTTGATTAAGAAAAGCAATCTTAATAAGCCCTTCAGGAGTAGACAGTGTTAAGGGGCACAGCAACCAGTGATGTAAGGGGGTACAATCACTACTAATGTAAGGGGAGACAGCATACCTACTGGGGAGCTGTTCCCTTAATATTTCTTCAATGCTAAAATGCAAGAGGAAATGCAGAATAAACCTCTACATATCAATACATATCAAAAGGATGTCTGTTGGTGACTCAGTTGCAGTAATTTGTAAATAATGGCAAGCACAGTTTAAATGTATGTGTCACAGCTTGGGGGCGGCTGGCATCTGGAAGATAAAGTAAATCACATTTCTAGATACCCTTGTCCTGATCAGTGACCCTGTGGGCAAAACACACTGAATCAATATGAGAGATGCTATCACACTTGCTAAGGATGAGGGTGGAGGCAGCTGTCATGGAGATTGATGGGAGATATACCTATAATGCAGAATGATGATAGGCTGGGAGTGGTACTCCCAGCTTATAAAAGTAAGAGGCGATAAGCATATTGAACATCTTCTCTTCCAAAATGAACAGTGTCCAGGCCATCGCTAAATCCTACCAGTTATTTAACCCCAAAGCCTACCTGCAAAATAACTATGTGCCACCTCGGGCAGACTTCTCGTCCGAAGAGAGCGTGATGTGTTGGAAGCTGCGGTGCCTTCATGAGGCTTGTGTCAAGGGTGAGCTATATTATGACATCACTGTTTTTATGTTTAGTTGTCAGATATTTAAATATATCGTCTTCTTGAAAAAGTGGTAAACTTTTTTTGCTACCGTAGGCCTTTATTAAGGTGTAAGATTGGCCATACATAGACTGATACTGTCCCACGTAGACCATTTCCCCTGATGACCATTGCCTGTGAGAGAGTATCTGTAGCAAAGTGTTTTCAATATGTGCTGCTCATTTGCCCATCACTTAAGTCTCCCTTACGACAGAACTTGAACCAGTAGGTTCAAGGGCAGGTGCCCATCATTGTTAGTAGGACATCTTCAAGACTAAAACATCACACAAACAGGGACAAATTAACAACAAAGTTAGATGCCAATCAATTTGGAAAGTATGTGCATCATATTTTTGTCTGTGTGTGTATTTGCAACCGTAGAACCATGGACAGCAAACTGAGACAGATCTGTAAAGCTAATAAATATTCTAAATGCTGTGTCCTTACTTCCAAACATAAATATCAAAGGCTTGAAACAGATTTAGCACCACAGATGAAAGAACTACTCTAAAAATGGGCACAAGTGGTCAGGGAACGATTGTGTTTTTTGTTGTTGTCCAACTTTAGAGCAGCAGCGGGAGGAATTTATTCATCAAGCTGCAATCTTATATTAAATCCATCCCATAATCCATCTTACTGCTCCTATTTAGTATTGTGTGACAGAGTTTACAAATGTTACCCTATATATTTGAGTAAAAAATAAAGGCTTACTATTTCTAAAAAATATAGGCTTACCATTTCTACAAGAAGAAAATGCTTTTGGATGCTAAAACACCATAATTGCTTTGAACAGCTTAAGGTGACACTAAACTCAGAAGTTAAATCTTAAAAATACATTCAAGTATCCAAACTATTAACAAAAATGTAGCTTATTTGTGCATCACTCAGCTGTAGATCCTCAAATCATCTCTGAATTCATGCGGACACTTTCCTTCCTTCTGGAGGGGGGCTACTTTTGTTCCCCATGGTCCCTGTGTGTGCTGTAAAGTAGCCACTGCTCCAAGCTCACTCCCATGATGAACTGAAATCTCTGTACAAACTAGTAAACTAAGCTTAAGATTGTAGTCCATCAAATGAGTGAGCTTAGCGCGGCGGCCCCCCACCCAAGGGAGAAGGAGTGTCAGCATGAATTCAGAGATGATTTGAGGATCTACAGCCGAGTGATACAGAAATAAGTTATATTTTATCTGTTTAAAAGACCACATAATTTTTGAACAGTGTAGGAGTTACTGATGCCATATTTTTTTAAGTGACACTAAACTCAGGAGTTTAGCCTTAAAAATGCATTCAAGTACCTAATAACAAAATTGTAAAGCTTGGAGTGTTGGCTGCTTTAAAACACAAACAGGGACCATGGGGAACAAAAGTAGCCACCCCCCAGGAGAAAGGTCAGTGTCAGCACCAATTCAGAGATGATTAGAGGATCTACACCTGAGTGATGCACAAGCTACATTTTTGTTAATATTTAGGGTACTTGAATGTACTTTGAGATTCAACTCCTGAGTTTAGTGTAATTTTAAGGTTGTACTATCTCAAGATACTCATAGACAATAGATGATTAATGCAGAAACATGTTCTTTGTAAGATTCGAAAATGATCACAAATGGGCAATAGATTGTGCAATAGATTTTTTTTTTGGGGCGGGGGGGTGCTCAAAAAGCACAGAAGATATAATTATTTATATTGGAATAGCTTGTCCAATAAACATCCACTGTTATGTTCCGTTATTATAAAGCTGGTACTAGAGATGTCTCCCCCCCCTGAGAACACAGGCATGCAATCAGCAATCTTTCTGTGGTCATATCATACATGTACATCTGTATCCTATTTAATAACTGTAGCCAGCTAAAAGCGCTCATACTGCACAGCTTCTGTGTCTACAAAAGCAGATCTAACTGTGCGAAAATCTAATTCTTCCCAAACAATTAGCACGTATTACTTTCAATATGGTTTCATGTATTTGTAAATTCAAAATCTGTTTGTGGGGTGAATTCACCATTTTATATTATATACATTTTATTATGATTACATTGAAGAAATGTTTTACATGCTAGCACGTTGCTGTGTTAAAAAGTTATATGACTAGAATGCGGAAAAAAACTATTTGTTAAATACTTATAATATGTATGAGAATCACTTTGTTGTTTAACAGTGATTCTTATTTATTGTTCAGCTCCTCTTGCTGCACAATACATTTTGGAGGCTCGGTTTATTAGAAATGTTATATTAGTATTTGGAGGGTCCCATAACAATAGTAAACCAGGCGTCCCAAAAAACAGTCTCTTTTTTAAAACTGGCCCCATTATGTTTGATCATAAAGAAAGAACAAAATCATTTTTATACATAGAATGGACTTCTCAAACATGATAAAAGTTTGATTTTACTCATTCTTGGTAATAACCTATTATTAATGTACCACATGTATTAATTTCCCTCATACTAGACATTACATTTTATCATCCTACAAACTGAGATCAGATAACTTTTGCGTTTTTGTTTAAAGTGACTCTGGTAAGTATTGGAAAAGTGTTGAGGTTGTCCTTGCTGCCTTCTTCAAGAAAATGCAACTTGTCTGACTGCGTCTGATTTAAGTACTTTGAATCACAAATCCAGAACAAGCATGACCTCTTATTTGATAATGACTTTGTTTTTAGTTTTGAGGGGTTCAAACTATGTTTTCTTTTGGCAATATAGTTTATTGACAAAAAGATTAAAATAAAAAAAAAATGTTTTTTTTTAAATTTTGACCAGTGTTATATTTCTTTTTAAACTAGTTTTACTGTAAATCAAAACTATACATTTTATTCTGTAATTTAACTAGTTTAAAATAACACTAAAATGATGTTTCTAGTACAAAGTTTGGCAAAGATTTTGGCAAATTTATTTTCTATTTTTGCACAATTTTTTACAGGGCACTAAAATTAATAAACAAATCAAATAAAAAAGAATGATAAAAAATGGAAATAAAAAAAATCATCAGAAAAATAGTAGCTAACCAAAGAATGAGTTAGGACACATTAGGGCTAACTGAGGGTTAATATGGATAAAGGATATGGATATACAGCTTAAATAGGAATACATTTTAGTAAAAGAAAATACACAGGAGCAGCTGCATTTTGACAGCTAAGTAATACATGCCAATTGCTGGCTATTATTTTGACAGCCAGTAACAGCGATGAAGGGAAGAGTAGCAGGGGGGAGAGGAACTGAATATAAATGATACATCCTAGAAACTTTGTTTTAAGGACGTATATCCTATAGTTAAAATTCTCAAGTGGTTCAATAAAGTGTCATTATGATTCCTTATATGTAAACTTGTTAGGGAGATCAAAGCATCAGCATGACAGCCAGGGAACTAACATTCTCAAAAAGACAGTTTAGCAATGGCAGCCTTCATGATTCTCTCATGATGGAGTAACTTTAAAGTCCTATGTTTAATGTAAATTAATGCAACAATAAGAACCGTTGACATTATTGCCCCAGTTAAAGAGCCAGAGCACTTAAAAGTGATATATAATGTGTCAGGTGGCTTAATTTTTCGGCATTTACCCAAAAATATCTGTTTTAGGTGGACTGACCCTTAAAGAAAACTGATATTACAGATAACATATAGGTATAAGATATATTATTCAGATTATTTGTGGCTTGGGTTTTCTGAAAGAATCTTTGCCAAGCTCTCAAGCACAGGATAAAGTATATAAAGCCATTAAAACATGAATTTATCATTAATATATAGTGCTTCACACCATTACAGCTGTGGAAAATAATTGTGTAAGTCATTTGAATATTCTTACAAAAAAATTAGACTATACTATTGCAACTTGTCACTCCATTTAATGGATCACATATCTGTAAATCTATTTATGAATCGGACACAGTGCCTTAACATCTTGTATGCCTGTAGCAATCACATTTGCCCAAAAGACATCCATAAAATTGAAAGAAATATCAGTGTCATAGAGCAGATGGGAACAATGTAAAACTATTTATTTTTCTAATACTCATACAGACGTAAGCAAATTTGCTTCCATAAAAGAACCCATTGTTTTCTGAAATAACTTGGAACTGACCAAAGCAATTGGCATCCATCATTATTTATCCCATATTTAATAAAAATAGGATTCAGAGCAGGGTTCATAGAAGGCCTCTTCAGAATAATCCAATATGTTGCTCTTAGCCATTCGTGGGTAATTTAAGCTGTGTTTTGGGTTATTATCCTGCTGGAGGACACATGCCCCGTCCTAAGACAGAGTTTTCTGACACTGGGCAGTACATTTCGCTCAAGAATTCATTGATTGATACAACACACACTACCAGAGCTGTCACATTGCACTAGCCCACCCGCTGAAATGAAGCAGATGGAGGGTGTGATTGGGTGGAACTAAAAGGATGTATCAATCACTCAAATTTTGGGTTCACCCTCTCTATCAGTGTGTGATTCAAACACGAGAAAACGGTCATGTAAAAGGACAGCTTCCTGGATTGTATTTCTATGTTATGTTTTTACAGGCTGTGTTTTCAGAAAATACATTTTTGCATTATGAACAATATTTTGCTGTGCTACCTGCTCTGTTAGTCCCTCTATAATATTAATATAGGTAGTTATTAGGAAGGACAGAGCAAAATACTGTCATTGTCACAGTCCCTTGCACAGATCATTTAACCCCTCACATTGCCCTTAGCCCCTAAGGAGTAAACAAGGTAATCTCATTGGTCTGAAAGGTAAGCTACTGTTCCATGTCACTTTGCTGGATAATTTTAAAAGATAGTTTTAAAGGACAGTTTTAAACACATTAGCTCTTTTAATATATCCAGGGACACCAAAGAACTTTGCAAATGTCTTCATTGCCAGAAGCCATGAATGATTATTTCCATGTGGCATTACACTAATGTAATTACTGGAGTTTACAAACTGCTAGAAGCAGACTGCTCCTGCATATGTTAAGATAAGGTGTGGT